TTCTGTTCAACCCACAAATAAGAGTTTAAAACTTGATCTTGGATCTGTCTCCACATTTAGCCGTACAGAATGGAAATCCATCGACCTTGTGAAATAAGGACAGAGGGACTCACACTCTAGCTGTATCTGAAGTGAGTCTTTGTGACCAGTGTTCCCCCTATGCTGAGTTCGTGTGAGCTAGCTCACAGTTCTTTAGCCTCCGGCTCACAGATTTTTGTCTTAGCTCAGGAAGGATGGCTCCAGAGCAAACTAATTTATGCAGCAGCCAAATCGCTCGCTCACAACTTTAATGCCAGCAGCTCACAAAGAAGATTTTTTGCTCACAAGACTCCACAGCTTAGAGGGAACATTGGTCGTGACCAGTGTTCCCTCTAAGCTGAGTCAGTGTGAGCCAGCTCAGAGTTTTTTAGACTCCGGCTCACACATTTTTGTCTCCGTTCAGGCAGGATGGCTCCGGAGCAGACTGATTTATGCAGTGGCCGCATCGCTCGCTCACAACTTTAATGCCAGAGTAGCTCACAAAGTAGAATCTTTGCTCACAGGACTCCGCAGCTTAGAGGGAGCCATGGTCGTGACCAATGTTCCCTCTAAGCTGTGGAGACTTGTGAGCAAAAATTCTACTTGGTGAGCTACTGGCATTCAAGTTGTGAGTGAGCAATTTGGCTACTGCATAAATTAGTTTGCTCTGGAGCCCCGTCCTTCCCGAGCGAAGGCTAAAAAACTGTGAGCTGGCTCACACTAACTCAGCTTAGAGGGAACACTGGTCACGAAAGCTTCTACCCTGACACGCATCTTATTGGTCCTGAAGGTGCTACTGGGCGTTTGCTCTTTTCTGCTGCTACAGACAGACTGACACGGGTGCCCATCTAGATCCGTCTCCATGGATGGCACCACATTTAGCCGTACAGAATCCATCCGCCTTGTGATATAAGGACAGGGGGACTTCCATTCTAGCCGTATCTGAAGAAGTGAGCAATGACTCACGAATCTCCTCCCCCTGCCACAAGTTTCGTCAGTCTTGAAGGTGCTCCTGGACTCTGGCTCTTTTCTACTCATATGTACAGCTGTAAGCAGCCGGAGGGCTGTCCAGCAGGGTCCTGGGGGAGCCTGGGTGGGCCAGGCAGGGAGTGGAGCGGAGGAAGGAGAAAAAGAGTTGCTCCCCCTCCAGGCCAAAGGGGACTTTTCTCCACCCACCCCTCCGCGAAACTGAAACCGAGGCGGCGGCTGCTTCCTGTGTTTACGTAAGAGTGTGGCTGCCGCTGGTGCCTCTGCCTCCGTTGTTGTTGTGGAACTTTGCAGGGTGGGGCTTCCGACACCTGCTGGGGAGTTTGGGCCGGGCACCGACAGTGCATTGGCAACAGGAGGGGAGGATGCAGCCTAGCTGGGATGGGCACAGACCTGCCTGACTGGGTGGAAGGAGAGGGCAGCAAGGGAGGCAGGGGAGAAGAGAAGAGATTGGATGTATCCCCCGCCCTTCACTACCCAAAGGTGTCTCAGAGCGGCTGACAAACTCCTTTCCCTCCCCCTCCCCACAACACACACCCTGTGAGGTCTGTGGGGCTGAGAGAGCTCTGACAGAAACGACTCTTTTTCGAGCTCTGATCAGAACTAGGGCTTGCCCAAGGTCACCCAGCTGGGTGCAAGTGGAGGAGTGGGGAAATCAAACCCGGTTCTCCCAGATTAGAGTCTGCGCACTGAAGAAGAGAAGAGATTGGATTTATACCCTTCCCTTCCCTGCCCAAAGGTGTCTCAGAGCGGCTTACAAACTCCTTTCCCTTCCCCTCTCCACAACAGACACCCTGGGAGGTGGGTGGGGCTGAGAGAGCTCTGACAGAAACTGCTCTTTTTCAAGAACAGCCCTTATCAGAACTACGGCTTGCCCAAGGTCATCCAGCAGCTGCAAGTGGAGGAGTGGGGAATCAAACCCGGTTCTCCCAGATTAGAGTCCGCACACTTAAGAAGAAGAAGAGATTGGATTTATACCCCATGGCCCTTCACTACCCAAAGGTGTCTCAGAGCTGCTGACAAACTCCTTTCCCTTCCCCTCCCCACAACAGACACCCTGTGAGGTCGGTGGGGCTGAGAGAGCTCTTGACAGAAACGGCTCTTTTTTTCAAGAACAGCTCTTATCAGAACTACGGCTTGCCCAAGGTCACCCAGCCAGGTGCAAGTGGAGGAGTGGGGGAATCAAACCCGGTTCTCCCAGATTAGAGTCCGCGCACTTAACCACTACACCAAACTGGCCCTCAAGGAAGGAGGGCTCCAGAGCAGACTAATTGATGCAGCAGCCAAATCGCTCGCTCACAACTTTAATGCCGGTAGCTCACAAAGTAGAATTTTTGCTCACAAGACTCCACAGCTTAGAGGGAGCATCTAACATTCTATGATTCTATAAGCCCAGCTGCTTAGTCAAAAAGTGCCTCTGAGCATGTGCAAAAGGCATCCGCTCCACACAGGTGGGATTATGGGGTCGTGTTTTGGGGGCAGGAGGTGTGGCTTCCAGAGAAGACCAAGAAGCCCCCATAACGTCTCAGCGCTACAGCAGGAAGAACAAGGGACCGGGGCGGTCAACAGAATTTTCCGGATTTCAAAACAGGATCCTCGCCAACCTTCAATAGTATACTGCCCTCTGGTGTCAAGTGGGAACACTGCACAGGACAGGGCTTTATAAGAAACAAGTCTTAAAGACGAAATTTGTCTCAGATGATGTTGAGACGCTTTTTCTCCAGGAAAAGGGAGTCTCCAGTCTCCCACCTGGTGAACCTGTTTCGCAGAACTTCCTCAAAGACAGATCTGCTTGTTAGTAGTCAAATAATAATAATAAAAGCCTTCACTCTCTTATTCCTTTAGCCCCTTTTATTCGCTGGCATTGGCCTTACAATCTTTCCAGAATCAAAAACATCTTCACTTCCTTATGCCTGGCAAAAAGCCTTACGGTCTTATCTTCTTAGGAATGCGGATGAAAGTCAGTCTCAGAGCAGTTTACAATCTCCTTTCCCTTCCCCTCCAAGTGAAGGGCTGGGGGGGGGGGGGGGGGGTATAAATCCAATCTCTTAGTGTCGTGGTTAAGTGCGTGGACTCTAATCTGGGAGAACCGGGTTTGATTCCCCACTCCTCCACATGCAGCTGTTGGTGTGACCTTGGGTCACCCTTTGTTGTGGTGGTGGTGTGAAGTGCCATCAAGTTTCTGCCGACTTATGAATTAAAGCCAGTTTGGTGTCGTGGTGAGGAGCGCGGGCTCCAATCTGGGTGAACCGCCTTTGATTCCCCCACTTCTCCACATGCAGCTGCTGGTGTGACCTTGGGTCCGTCACGAGTTCTCTCAGAGCTGTTCTCTCGAGGACAGCTCTGGAAAGAGCTCTCTCAGTCCCACAGACCTCACAGGGTGTCTGTTGTGGGGAGAGGAAGGAAGAGGAGATTGTAAGCCACTCTGAGACTCCTATGGGTAGTGCTCAGCAATTTCACTGAGTGCCCACGAGTTCTCTCAAGGGCAGTCCTCGGGAGAGCTCTCTCGGCCCCGCCTACCTCACAGGGTGTCTGTTGCGGGGAGGGGAAGTGAAGGGCAGGGTATAAATCGAATCTCCTACTACTACTGAGACTCAGAGTCCCAGAGCATCTTACAATCTCCTTTCCCTTCCCCTCCAAGTGAAGGGCTGGGGGGGGGGGTTATAAATCCAATCTCTTAGTGTAGTGGTGAAGTGCGCGGACTCTAATCTGGGAGAACCGGTTTTGATTCCTCACTCCTCCACATGCAGCTGTTGGTGTGACCTTGGTCAGTCACAAGTTCCTTCAGAGCCGTTCTCTCAAGGGCAGTCCTCGGGAGAGCTCTCTCAGCCCCACCTGCCTCCCAGGGTGTCTGCTGTGGGGAGGGGAAGGGAAAGGAGTTTGTGAGCCGCTCTGAGACTCCTTTGGGCAGTGAGGCACGGGGGTATAAATCCAATCTCCTCTTCTTCTCTTTGTTGGTCCGATCCAGCGGGGGGGCTCTGACGTTTGGGGGGGGGATCAGCCAAGGCAAAGGAGGTGCAGGCAAGCGGGGTCGGGCGGAGCGGCAGCGGGTCTCGCCGCGAATCCAAACGGAGCGGGCCGAGGCACCTGCCGGCTTCTCCAGGAGACGCAGGACCCACAGGCTTAATGAAAAATACAGTCAGTGCTTTATTTCAAGTCGGGGCGTAAAATCCAATGGAAATAGATACTTCGCCATACAATTTCACACACACATACACACACCCCACCCCCGTGGAGCAGTGCAGGGACCTCAGAGACACACGCAGCAGGAAGCCAACTAGGACTGGGGTCAGAAGGGGAGAAGGACCGGAGTCGGGCTCTTTCGGTGAAGCGTTTCCGGGGGGTCAGATGTGCCTGAGCACGCTACGAGAGAGACGGCAGCACGAGAGGAGGCGCCCGAAACCTCCAAGCAGCGCAAGAGCCCTGGGGTTCCCGTCTCCCTCCCTCGCGACCCTAAAAACCCAGGCTCTGCTCGGGCACAGCTCTCCGCCGGGCCCAAGCTAGATGTGGGGAGGACCCTCCGCCAGGCCTCCTTCGGCCCCTTTCCGCTGGGGCCCTTTCGAGAGTTCGCCGAGTCCTCTGGCCCCCTTACCGGAGACACGATCCCGCTCCCGCCAGTTTCCGGCTTCCCCTAGCGAGGCCGACGGCAGATGGGCCTTGAGCGACGTCGAGAGGGGCCCCCCCCTAGCAGAGGGTTGACGCTCCTTCGGCCCGGGGCCCGGCGTGCGCGTGGATGCCACGGAATGGATCCCCGCCCTGGATAAATCCTCACCCGTCCCCAACCCACCGGAGGGCCGGCGTGAGAGGCTGACGCTGCCTCTGGCAGTGCTCACGGAGGTCTCGGAGACCTCCAAAGTCGAGTATATGAAATGCTCATCTCTCTCCTGGTGCGGGGACCCATTCCCGGAGCTGCCGGGGAGAAGACCGAAGGGGCGAAAATGGTTTTGAGCTCGTTTCCCCGCCTGCAACGCAGACGACGGTCTCAGTGCAGGAGCCGGGGTGGGTGGGTGGGGAGGGGGCATCGTGGGGCTGTGCAGGACGGCCCCCCCAAATCTTGACCACGGTCCCCTTTACTCTGGCGCTTTTGCCACAGGCGAGCAACAACGCAGCCGGCCAGTGTGAGAGACGGAAGAACGGCCCAGGAAGAAGGTCAGTCTGCAACGGCCCACGGCCAGGGAGAGAACCTCCCACTCCGGGGTTTAGGAACTGCAACCACTCACCACGACTGGCAAGCCGTCTGCACGGCTGCAAACGTCCCCGGCCCCAGCTGCCCGGCAAGGAGTCTCTTGTTCCACAGCGGGAGCGTGTGGGGGACCGGCAACGCCCCCTCCCCTGTGAGCTCATCCAGCCCAGATCAGAATTAGCAGCAGGTAAAACAGGCTCAAAGGGCCCCTTCCGTCCAAAGACCGGGAGGCCGGCACGCCTGTGGGTGGGTAGCCGGCTGTGGCCTTCCGCGGCATCCACGTCTGCTGGCTGACAACCAAAGCGAGGCCTCCGCTAGAAGCGCTTGTCCTCCGGCTGGGAACTGACCACCAGCTCCTTGTTGCCAAAGTCCCACCAGGCCGTCATGTGGAATGCCATGTTGGAAAGGACCACCAAGTACTCCAGGAAGGCAAACACCGTGTACACTGGGGAGGGAAAAAAGAGCCAGAGGGTTAGCGGACAATGCATAACAGAAGGGACGGAGGTTCGACGAAGAAGAAGAAATTGGATTTATACCCTGCCCTTCACTTGGTGTTGTGGTTAAGTGCGCGGACTCTAATCTGGGAGAACCGGGTTTGATTCCCCACTCCTCCATGTGCAGCTGCTGATGTGACCTTGGGTCAGTCACAAGCTCTGGCACAGCTGTCCTTGAAAAAGAGCAGTTTCTGTCAGAGCTCTCTCAGCCCCACCGACCTCACAGGGTGTCTGCTGTGGGGAGAGGAAGGGAAAAGGAGTTTGTAAGCCCCTCTGAGACTCAAGAAGAAGAAGAAGAGAAGAGATTGGATTTATCCCCCGCCCTTCACTTGGAGCCTCAGAGTGGCTTACAAACTCCTCTCCCTTCCCCTCCGCACAACAGACACCCTGTGAGGTCGGTGGGGCTGAGAGAACTCTGTCACAAACTGCTCTTTTTCAAGGACAGCTCTTGTCAGAACTATGGCTTGCCCAAGGTCATCCAGCCAGGTTCGTGTGGAGGAGGGGGGAATCAAACTCGGTTCTCCCAGATTAGAGTCCGCCTGCACTTAACCGCCACACCAAACTGGCTCTCACAAGACAAGTCTAAGTTCTGCACCAGGGACCACGATCGTTGAAGGCTCAACGAAAGTGTCAACCTAGAGTGCTGCGGCAGTGAAAAAGACAAACTCTGTGTCAGGGATTACCAGGAAAGGGATTGAGAATAAAACGGCCGATACGGTGATGCCCCTGTGTAGATCTGTGGTGCGGCCTCATTTGGAATACTGTGTGTGCAGTTCTGGTCACTGCATCGCCAAAAGGGCACTGCGGAGCTGGGAAAAGTACAGAGGAGGGGAACCAAGATTATTTAGGGGCTAGAGCCCCTTCCCTAGGAGGAAAAGAGACGACTAAGGGGGACATGACGGAGGCCAATAAAATTATGCACGGGGTGACAAAGAGAACTTTCTTCCCTCTCCAAAAACACTAGAACTCGAGGGCGCCCAATGGAGCTGATGGGCAGTAGGTTCAGGACACACAACAGGAAATACTACTTTACACAGAAAGTGCCAGAGGATGTAGTGCTGGACACAAGGAATAAACTGTTCTAAAAGGGGATTAGATAGATTCCGGGAGGATAAGTCTATCAGTGGCTACTAGCTGTGGTGACTAAAGGGAACCTCCATGTTCAGAGGCACTAATCCTCTGAATCCCAAGCCAGGAGGCAACATGAGGGGAAGGCTTCGGCCTCCTTGCCATATTGTTGGCCCTCCAGGGGAACTGGCTGGCCCCTGTGTGTGAGACAGGAGGCTGGACTAGAGGGACCCTCCCTGGTCTGACCCAGCAGGGCTCTTCTGAGGTTCTCATCAGGGGAAGGCCTCGGCCTCTCTGCCCTGTTGTTGGCCCTCCAGAGGAACTGGTTGGCCCCTGTGTGAGACAAGATGCTGGACTAGATGGACCCTCAGTGGTTCTTCTCAGGGGAAGGCCTCGGCCTCGCTACCCTGTTCTTGGCCCTCCGGAGGAACTGGCTGGCCGCTGTGTGAGACAGGTGGCTGGACTGGATGGACCCTCCCTGGTCTGACCCAGCAGGGCTCTTCTGAGGTTCTCATCAGGGGAAGGCCTCGGCCTCTCTGCCCTGTTGCTGGCCCTACAGAGGAACTGGCTGGCCCCTGTGTGAGACGGGAGGCTGGACTGGATGGACCCTCTCTGGTCTGACCCAGCAGGGCTCTTCTGAGGTTCTCATCAGGGGAAGGCCGCGGCCTCTCTGCCCTGTGGTTGGCCCGTCCAGAGTCCTCCAGTGTAGTGGTTAAGTCCTTGCAGCCCTTGCGGCTACAGATCTTAACAATCCGCTATCTATTTGCTGTAATATCGTGGGGATTATATCAAGGCCATGAAGTTGTGTGAAACTGGGTGGTTGTGAGGACAGAATGGAGGAGAGGAGAATTCCGTCAGCCGCTTTGGGGTCCCCGTTCGAGACAAAGGCGGGATAAAAAAACGAAGTAGATAAAGGCATACAACAAATCCAGGGGGCGCGGTCCACGCAGCCACGCCGTGGCTCTTACCTCCGGGCTCGCAGTACCAGTTGTGTCGGAAGTAGAAGGCCACGGCCACCGAGAAGGCGAGGAGGTTGAAGAGGAAGAGCCACAGCTTCCACTTGTAGGACTTCCGCTCCTGTGGGGCAGAGAAGGGCGGGGGGGGGGATGGACACAGGGCAGTCACTCCTGCCAGGGCCAGCTGCTTCCCCCAGGAGGACGGTTCCGCCCGGCTCCCCTTGGACCTTTGCCTGTGCATGCACAGAGCACCCACTGCTCCCCGTATGCTCAGAGTCGACTGAGAGGTGATCGGATCACCATCTTCAAGGACTTGAAGGGCTGTCATAGAGAGGATGGTGTGGAGTTGTTTTCTGTTGCCCCAGAAATGTCAGACCAGAACCAACGGGCTGAAATTAAATCAGTAGAGTTTTCGGCTAAACATTAGGAAGACGGTTAGAGC